CCTTTTAAAGGAACAAATTTTTTGGTTTTTTTTTTTTAATTTTTTTTTTATATTAATAGGTTTCACTATTTTTTTTTTTTTTTTTTTTTTGTGTTATAAGAGTCAAGTTTGTAATTTTTCTATTTTGTGTATTTTTTATACTTTTATATTCAATTTTTTTTAAAATCATATTTAGTTTTTTTTTCTTCCTATTTCACTTTTTTAAGATTTGTTTTGTTTTTTTTTTTATATAAATTCTGTTTTTAAAATCTGAATTTGTTTGTTTACATAACTAACTTTTTTTTGGTGTGTCTGTGTCCAGTGCTCTTATTGAAAATAAAAATAATAATAAATAATAAAGAAGAAACACTTTTTTTGGTTTGTTTTTTTTTGGTTTTGGATTTGGTTATTTTATTTTTTATATAAATCTCTTTGATTGTAGGTTGTTCTAAGAGTTTTTGGGTTTGTATTTTTGTATTTTTGTGTGTACAAATGTTAATTATGCTTTTATTTCTTCATTAAAAAATAAAAGAAGATAAAAAGTTCATTAGTTATCAAGCTCCTTGGAGACAAAATTGATTATTATTCTACTTCGTTTATGTCAAAAATTTGTAATTATTTATTTTTCTTTGTGTATATCAAATTTCTTTGACTGTAAGTATTCTAAGAATCTTAGTTTGTAGTTTTTAAAAAGTACTATTTTTTTCAAGATTATTTTTTTACTTCTTTATGTCAAATTGTGAGTGTTCTCTATCTTTCTTTTTTTTAATGAGTTGTGATGTATAGTTATTTTTTAATAAAAAATAATCAATCCTTTTTTTGAATTTGTACATGCATCGCTTGTATCCGGCCGCTGGTGTAATTAATCAGTCAAGTGATTCACAAACATCTATCTATATTAGTGGATAGCAACACGCAATGTGTGTGCAATTCAAATAAGAAAGTATAAAAACAAATAATAAAAAGATTAATATCATAATATGTATGTCGTTTAAATGTAAAATGATTTTTAATGAAACTCAAGATCTTGGGTTCAATCTGCTCACGCCCCTGAATAATATTTTTTTATTTTCGATAGGAAAATTTGCCATGTCATAGAAAGAAAGTCACCACACTATTAGATACCAAGTCATGTGCTCACATATATAATACTACATGTATATATATTATATAAAGAAATAAAGTTTCTAATGAGAAATTTCCTAACAATTCTAAACTCTCATTCTAAAATTATTAATTTTTTAATTTATAAAATAGATTAAAAAATCTATTGACTGATTTATTTATTTAATTATTTTAGAAATAATAATTATTCCTTAATTTATAGATTTCAAATGAGAAGATAACAAAAATATTTCATAATCTCTCTATCCTAATCTCTCTCACCGATTTCGAAAAGAAAATATTAAAACTTGTTTTCCTTCTCTCTCTCCCAAAAAATTAGATTATATTTTTCATGAGAATTGTGGGTATCTATCTATATTTTATATATTCTATTATAACATAACAAAAAAAAAAAACTAAAAATTAGATATACACAAATAAAATTAATAAATTTGATTTTTACTTATTCAGTTAAAATCTTTCTTTTGCATCTCAATATCCAATTTTAAATTTTAAAAATCTGTAAAATCTATTTAAACAAATCTAATTTAAAAATATCTTCCATTATCATAATTTAAATCAATAAAACTCACATGTCTATCATATATCTAACTCACATCATAACTTACCTAAATAATAATAATGATTAAAAACAAATAGAAACCACAAATAATTAAAAAATTTAAAAAAAATGGAAACCAACAACTCCATCTTAAATAAATTGAAAAAAATAAATAAATAAAAACCACACAAAAATAAAGAAGATAAAGATTTTAGATATGGTGTCAAAAAGATATGACAATTAATATCTAAATTTGAATTATGATTTAGTAACATAATTATCTTTTTTTTTTATGTATATCTTATCAAATTTTTAAATTACTTAATGGGATAAATTAATCCATTTTCTAATCTTATTTAAAGAATAAATCTAATTAGTCATCTCAACTCCTAGATTTCGTGAGCACGGGCAAAGGAGCTAATGGATTGGGTTGGGCAAGATCTAAGTTGTTGGAGGTAACATCCTACCACTTCAAAAAAAAATTTTTTTTTTTTTTTCATGTGTGATTCTCTTTATCTGCTGTTGGTTTGTGGTTTCGGTTTTAGAAAGGTTTTATGTGTTTGTTTACATGTTTGCATGGTATAAAAGAATTATTGGTGATGATGGTTACAATTGAAATATCTTCAAGATTTAACTATAACATTAGATTTTTTTTATAACTAGGTAAATTAAAAACTTTTAAATATCATTGTGTTCTTTATTTTTATCTTGTTTCTATCCCATTATACTATTACTGCTATTTGTTAGTTTGTTAATTATAATTCAATTAATTGAAAATAAAATTTTAGTATAACGTTTCATAAATATTATAGTTAATTTGTTACCGCTATAGTTGTATATAATAGCATAATATATAGGGATAATTTGTAAATATAATTTTATTTTTTTATGTGATTAAAATAGTCCATCTTAAATAGTATATAGAGGAGTTAAATGACTTATTTTATCCCCAAAAAATCCAATCTATTTTTTTTTCTTTTTAATTTTTTAAATTGAAACACTAGTTGTTTATGTCCACAAAATGAAACTGATAAATACATATCCAAAAGTTGCATATTTTTTTATATTTTCTTTTCTTTTTTCTTTTTTTAGTAGGTAGGATATTTACAAATGAAAATTATTTGACATCTTAAAAAACTTTTCCTAATCCAACTTATATAATGTAGTCATAAGCATCAATTTTATCAATATATAAAAAGAGAATTAATCAAATTATACATTCAATCAACCACATACTCAAACTTTCAATATTTCAAGATGTTATTTCACTATAATTCTAATTAAGGGAATCTTCACCCTTAATAATTTTTTTATCAAATTATAATTTGATAAAAATTTAAAAAGATGAAGCGTTGGAAATTATTGTTTTTTTCATCAAAATTGATGAAAAGAAAAAAAAAATTGGGATAAGAATGAAAGTTCTTTTAAAAATTGACAAAAATTTAATCAAAAAGTTAAAATAATTCATATCAAATCAATTTTTTTATTCAAATTTAAAATCAAATTAGATAAAAAAAGATTAAAAGAAAATGATGAAAGGTTGAAAATATTGTGAAACCTTCTTATTCTTAAACACTAGAAATCCGTGTGCGTATTATATTCATATTGTATTTTAGTTATAAAATTGAAATAAAAAAAATGTAACTTAAATTATTAGATTAATAATAGGAACATCATATTAATTATTGTTAAATATCACTTCACTTCACATTAAATAATAAAATATTATATATTTGTCTTAATTATAACTTTTAAATTTGTATATTTTCATAACAAGAAGAGATATGTCAAAACTCATTTAATCTCATTTAATTAGGTTTTACTTTTTTTTTATACAAATTATCAAAATTACACTAAATAGATGATTTATATATATATTTTTAATTTTTTTTAAACTAATAATTTAAAAGTTATGAAACATAAAAGTTAACTTATAAATTTCATGTAGACCACAAGACAAAATATTGAATTACTTCAAAATAATTATAATTATTTTTTTTTAATTTATAAAGTCTCGTCCATAGTTTGGGTTACCACTAGTATATATATATATATATGAGAGTATATACCATGAAAAATGAAATAGCAAAGAGATATTGATTATGATTATCTAATGTTGAAATCAAATGGGGTTTTAAAAAGGGTTCCAAAAATTAGGGCTATCAAAATCAAAATTAGGATTTTCAAAATCAAAACTTAGAACTTGAAATCTGCCTTAGTTTTGTGTCAAAATCGTTACACCAAAAATCGCCACGCCCCGAAAATTTACCCAATGTAGATTCATCAACTTACATAGCATAATGTAAATGGAGACCAAATCTGAATATTGACATCATTCTCAAATCCTCAACATTTGTATTCATTAATCATCATAATATAATTCTAAAGGATGATATGACAACTTCATCATTCATGTATTCTCTACATATTTGACATCATTTTGTAAACATTGATTTTCCAAGACAACTCAGTCATAAGCATCAAAGTCGACAATTTTTTTTTTCTTTTCCTCAATGAAATTCCCCATGTAATACAACCATAGAAATTTCTCCATCATTTCTTCACATAGCAATTTATTAAGCATCAATTTCACAATATCTCAACTTTTTCCCAAAATTTCCAAATTCTATCAAAACAAGGTTTTGTTCCATATTTTTTTTTTTTTGAAGATTTTTCCAAAACAACACCTACACTTTAGAACATAACTCATATTCTCAAAAGTTTTAGGAAAAGATAGATGAAATCAACTTCTAACATCATATAGGGCTCACAACCCAAAATCATAACTCAAAACATGATGAAATACCCAAAACATGTATCAACTTGCAAAAATGTATATATCTCTCAAAGATTATCCCTACCTCAAGCTTTGGAGATGAAGATGATGGAAACCCTAGAAATCAAACTCATAAAAACACGATCCAATCGATTATAAACGTAACCCTCGTCGCCCTCTTCGATTTAGTATAAGAAACCCCCTCAAACTCTTGAAGATTTGAGATAAATCTTAGAGAGAAGTTGGATTTTTTGTGTGTTTTTAGAAAGAAGAGAGAGAATAGATGGATACATATATACTGGGATGGACGCAGGATTCTAATATGGGGGGCGAGTGTATATGCAATGAAAAAATTTGTCATGAGCATGTGATATACAATATCATTTTCTACCCAAATATCACAAAAATATATAATTATATGTTTCCATTCATCGTATATAATTACAAAATATTATCAAAATAAAATTGGATATGTTCTAGTAAATCCATAATAATTTTCAAAAAAGCAACTATTTACTTTACATATCTACTTAGGCATCTAAAGCTGTGCTCGACGTTCTTTCATGACATAAAAAGTATCTATGATGGAATCTCATCAAAATCTCGAGCAATGTCTTTCTCAACATATGTTAACAAGTGGCGTGAAAGAAAATCATTCTCCATCCTGTTGCGCAATCTAGTCTTTACAATTTTCATAGCTGAAAATGCACGTTTTGTTGTTGCCGTAGAAATTGGTAAAGTTAGAACAAGACAAATTAATCTATCAACAAGAGGATAAATTGTTGACTTCCTTGTTGTTGCCAACATTTGGCACAATTCAAAAATTGTCAACAACTGCTGAAACTCAGGATGTTTAAGGATGTCAATCTCGTAATTTTGCAATTGGAATTTCAAATGAATTTTTTCTTGCTCTGTAAAGTCATTAGGATAAAATTGATTTGCAAGCTTGCATACATCTTCAATTTTGAACGAACTGTAATCATCCCTAGGATCTAAAGCAGAGCTAAGAATAAGCAACTCCATCACATCTTCTTTGAATCTATTGCTCAATTCTTGCAATTGAGAATCACATATAATTGTAAAAATATCAACCCGAAAATGATGCTTAATAGTAACGTGATCTCTTTGGTGACAAACACGACCTCTACCAGATGTGTAACGAGCACTCATATCAGGAATATCTATGTCATATTTTCCACAAAATAGTTGAACATTCTCCAACAAAGAAATCCATCCATCTTCTCTATATTTTTCAACAAGTGCTTTTGTAGTTAACACTATATGCATTGCATTCAATATATCTTGAGATTTGCATTGCAAAGCTTGGCAAAGATCATTAGTAGTCCTCAGAATATCTCTCATAAGATGTAAGATAAACACAATCTCAAAAGATGTAATCTTATCATAAACTTCATCTGCATCGGCACGTTGAGTAAAGGTGGCTCCATCATTGTTGACATTACTTAAGACTGAACAAGTTTCACCAAACATATTTATCAAATTGGAAATAGCTCCCAAGTGAGAACCCCATCGAGTATCTCCAACCTATTTCAATGTCCCAACTTGATTTTTGCCTTTACTAGTTTCAACTTCATAAATAGCAAGTTTTGCTGCAATTTCTTCAGCCTGAGCAACTTTCAACTAATCATGCCTTTTACAAGAAGAGCCACATAGATTAACTGCGAGAGCCAGATAAGAAAAAATTGGGCAACGGGTATAACCTCTCTTGCTGTCGCTACCAATGCTAATTGGAGTCGATGAGCAAAGCAATGAACATAATATGCAAAATGACAGTCATGAAGAAATAAGGCCTGCAACCCAGTCCACTCTCCACGCATATTACTAGCACCATCATACCCTTGACCACGAATATTTTGTACACTGAGATTATGACAATATAGGACAATACATATTTCTTCTTTCAAAGTTGCTGATGTTGTATCCGATACATGAACAATATCAAAAAAATGCTCCTTTATAAAACCATCTTTATCAACAAATCTTAGAACAATGCTCATTTGCTCCCTCTTTGATTCATCTCGAGCCTCATCCACTATAACGCAAAATTTTGCTTCATCAATCTCCTCACGAATGAATCTTTGTATTTTGTCAAAAAAAAAAATACTAAGAATCTCTTTTTGAATTCGATGCGAGTAATATGAAGCATTTTGAGGAGCTTTGTGTAACACATCTTCCACATCTGCATTATAAGATGCCAAGAGCTTTATCAATTCAATAACATTCTCACGATTATTAGAATCATGACCTTCATCACGACCTTTAAATGCACAAGCTTGAAACGTAAGCCATTTGACAGCATCTATTGTAGTCTTCAACCACAAACGATTTTTGGCAACTTGTTGAGAAGTTTGTTTCTCAACTAATTTCTCAATGTGTTGCGCTTGAATTGTTAAATCATGGCAAGATTTGATAACAATTCTGTGCGATGAATTAGGGTCCTTTCCAATATGAGTTAAGAAAGCACAATTCTTCCCACTATTGACTTTCTTCCATGAAGAAAATCCATCAGAAATGAAAGCGCTAGAAGTAGTGAGTCCATTTGGTTTTGTAAAAAGATAGCAAGGACGACAAAAGGCACAATGATTGGTTGGAGAATATTCTAGCCGATCTAGAAATAACTTGTACCAAGAAGCTAGAAAATGATGCCCATTCTTCTCTTCAAAAGGTTGGTTATCAGGTTGGTATGGTCCAAATTTGATGTAAGCTCGTCGAATCTCATCACGTTGAGATATCAAATACTCCCAAATTTGTGGTCATAGTCCTGGATCCCTTACCAAAGAAGATGTATAAACTTCTTTGGATTCTATTCTAGGCACTTTACAAGGATGTTGTTCAGGAATTGAAGCTTCAACATTATCAGTGGAAGGTTTTGTAGTTGCATTAACTTCTAACGTTCTGTTGTTGCCATAGAAACTGGTAAATTAGAACAATACGAATTAATCTATCGATAAGAGGATAAATTGTTGACTTCCTTGTTATTGCCAACATTTGGTACAAGTCAGAAATTGTCAATAACTGCTAAAACTTAGGATGTTTAAGGATGTCAATCTCGTAGTTTTGCAATTGGAATTTCAAATGTATTTTTTCTTGCTCTATAAAGTGATTAGGATAAAATTGATTTGCAAGCTTGCATATATCTTCAATTTTGAACGAATTGTAATCATCCCTAGGATCTAAAGTAGAGCTAAGAATAAGCAACTCCATCACATCTTCTTTGAATCTATTGTTCAATTCTTGCAATTGAGAATCCCATATAATTGTAAAAATATCAACCTGAAAATGATGCTCAATAGTAATGTGATCTCTTTGGCGACAAGCACGACCTCCACTAGATGTGTAACGAACACTCATATCAGGAATATTTATGTCATATTCTCCACAAAATAGTTGAACATTCTCCAACTAAAGAATCCATCTATCATCTCTATATTTTTGAACAAGTGCTTTTGTAGTTGACACTAGATGCATTGCATTCAATACATCTTGGGATTTATGTTGCAAGGCTTGGCAAAGATCATCAGTAGTCCCCATATTATCTCTCATCAAATGTAAGATAAACACAAACTTTAAAGATGCAATCTTATCATAAACTCCATCAGCATCTGCACGTTAAGTAGATGTGGCTCCATCATTGATGACATTACTTAAGACTGACCAAGTTGCTCTAAACATATTTATCAAACTGGAAATAGAAAATGTAAAAATATAGCAACTAAAATTTCAATTATTTTAACATTATTAAATTTAAAATAAAAAGTAATCATACTTAAAAAAATAAATTATTATTATTATCTTGTTATTTATCAAAAAATAATAATTAAATTTTTTAATTTTAAAGTATAAAATTTAGGGGGGCGGTTCTTAAATTTTTTGCAAAAATTTTGGGGTGGCAAACCTATATAATTTTAATACTATATTTAGGAATCTTTTCAAAACTTTTTGGGGGGGGGGGCGGTCGCCCCTGCCAACCCCTCCTCGGTCCTC